TACACCCCGGAACTTGTAACAAATGTCGTTTTTGCTCGATCATCGGGGTGCATGAAGATCTGATGGTACCCAGAAAATGCGTCCATGAAACTAAGCAAGGCATGGCCACTTATCGAGTCGACTAGCTGATCGATCCTCGGCAAGGGATAAAAGTCCTTCGGACAAGCCCTGTTTAGGTTTGTGAAGTCAACGCACATTCTCCAGGTGCCATTTACCTTCTGAACCATCACCACATTAGCCAACCATTCCGGATACTGACAAGGCTCAATGAACCCTGCGTCTAGAAGTTTTTTGACTTCAACTGCGATGTCTTGGTTCTTTTGAGCGGAGTAGTTCCGCTTCTTTTGCTTAATGGGTCGACATTAAGCTTTTGGGAGATGTGGTTCGGGTCAATCCCGAGCATGTCTGCTGCCGAGAAAGCAAACTTATCTCGGTTGTCCCGAAGAAGTTGGATTAATTCAACATGGAAGCTCGGGTCTGATCCCTGCCCAATGCTGAAACATTTTTCGTTATCTCCTTCGGTCAACAGTATTGATTCTGTCTGATTATCCAGTTCCATTGCTTTGGCACTGGATTCTTCGGATTCAGGCCTACTGTCAATATCAGCGGGATTCCTAGACTTCGGTTGATTTCCTGAGTCTTTCGGCTCAGACAAAGAACTAGCCTTTTCTTTCCCCAAAGATGTCTTATTTGCTGGGGATCCTTGAGCCGAGGCACTTAATCTCTTGGGCCTTTTCGTACCTCTGTCTTTTTTTTTTTCCTCCTCATCATCCTTATCACTGCGACGACTCTTAGACGGTTTGAGGTGGTTGCATCTCCGGGCCTCCTTTTGGCTGCCCAAGATTTTTTCAGAGCGTCCCTTGTCCGAAACGTAAATCATTGTTTGATGGTACGTTGAGATAACTCCTTGAACATCATGAATAAGGGGTCTACCCACGATCACGTTGTACACAAACGGAACATTGACGACTAAGAACTCGTCCATAATGATCCGTTGTGCTAGGCTTCGGCCTAGGGAGACAGGAAGAAGAATCTTCCCATCTGGGTATAATGAAGAGCCATTGAATCCAGTTACCGGGAAGGGCACTGGAGTTAGTTTCTTGCTCTCCAAGCTGGTCGAATGCCCTTTGATAGAGGATATTCGCCCCGTTGCCACCTTTCACGAGGGTTCGATAGACGTTGTGGTTTGCAATGCCCATCATGATCACTAACGGGTCCTCATGGGGGTACACCACCCCTCTACAGTCTTCGGCTATGAACAGCATGTTCGGCATCGGAGATTGAGGTTCTCGGAACTCAGCATTATGTACTTGATGGGTCAAGCCCCTCAAGTGGCGTTTCAGCGCATTTCGAGAAACCCTACCGGAAATAGTGATAATGTCAAGATTTTCCTTGTCATTTAGCTTGTCTCTTTTCCGGAGAAAGTCCAGATCCTGTCGAGAATCTCTCTCGGCTTTCTTCTCTTCGCGACGGTCCGCGACGTACTTTTTCAAATAGCCTTTTTGGACCAAATCCTCGATCTGGTCTTTCAGCTGGAGGCAGCCCTCGGTGCGATGTCCAGTAGATTCATGGAACTCGCACCATTGGTCCTTCCCCTTTTTCTGATGCCATGATGGAAGTGGCTTTGGCTTCTTGAATCTCCCTTCGTCTTTGGTCGTGCTGAAAAATTTAGCACGCGGAAGAGCAAGAGGAGTATAAGACTCAAACCTCCCCGTATAGGGGGTCCTATCTTTCTTCGGCTTGGATGCCGAGGAAGGTTATGAGGCTTTTGCCTTCCCTTTCTTCGACCCTTGGCCTTCGGGCGCTTGGCCCTTCACTTTCAAGACCCCTGCTTGGGACTGAGATTTTGCTTTATTCCATTCTTCGGCTCGAATAAACTTGTCCGAGGCATCCGAATCTTCCTCCAAGGTCTGCGGGGCATGCATGACCATGAAGTCCAGGAATTTTCCAGCTTGTAGGCCGTTCCGTTAGGCAAATACGGCAAGGCCTTGGTCCTGACTCGTGATTCTGGACGACTCGTTGCTGAAGCGAGTCAAGTAATCTCGGAGGCTTTCGCCCTCTGTTTGCTGCAGACTCATCAATTCTGCAGTCGTTTTCTCTTGGCGGTCCGTAGAAAACTTGCTCTTGAATTTGTTGGCAAGGTCATTCCAACCTGTTATAGAGCCTTCTTTCACCCCCTTGGTGATCCACGATTGTGCAACGCCTTTGAGGGTGGTTAGATAGTATTTACACCAGGTAGCCTCGGACCTGGGGTTAAGATACATGTGCCCCTCGTAAGAGGCAATGTGATCTTTCGGGTCTGAGGTACCATCGTAAGTAATGTGCACTGGTATTTTTACCGTTGGCACATGCTCTTCTAATATCCAACTTTGGAAGGGCGAGCTTGTAGAACCTTTACGACTTTCCCCTTCTTCTTAGCCGAAGGGACCTCGCTTCTCCCTCTTAAAGAGGTGGAAGTGGTTTTCGTTCCTGGCTGAGATGATTCGGGGTAAGCCGTGGTTCCCTTTGGGTAAGTGAGACGGCTACGTACGTTTACTTCCCTTGGGCCTAGGCACTCATGGACGCTTTGGCGAGCAGGCTCTTGCCACACAGAGGTGGTATTGCTGCTCCGGAAGCTCATGAAATCCGGGTCTCGGAATGGTGGAAGAACTGGGGATTCTTTTTCCTTTCCCGCTCGGTCCTCCAGGTGTCTTCCTTCCACTTCTCCCCAAGCTGCTTGTAGGATGGAACTTGTCCATCCTCCTCTCGACCGATTCTCCTTCTCAGGTGTCTTGGATGAAGAGGTGAAGACTCGCGGGGCGTTAATGGGAGTTGTCCCCTTGGGCTTTAAGGAACTCCACGCAGACCGCTACGGCCCTTGCCACTTCCTCCGTAAAGGGCCCCGATAGTGGGGTCTCTTTTGGTTGGGACCGAGAGTGTAGACTCTATGGTGGAGGGCTCTTTGCATTAGACCCACTCGGCCTAGACGAGCTTGCCGGCTCGCGAGTGTGGTGAGACGGAAAACACTCTTAAGCGTCCCCTTTCAGAGAATGGGAAGCTTTTAAGAATGAAGCAGCTGGTTCCGGTGAAGAGGAAATCTGCCGATGTTCCCTCACTGTGATCAAGTCTTCGTCCCACCTCGAAGAGGTGGGAACATTTTTCTTCTGAGCACCTTTGGTACTCTCTCCACTCTTAGTCATGCTTATTCCTAAGATTGGTAGATTTTTGGCTTAAAGTTTTGTGTATCTTCCCCACAGACGGCGCCAAATTGTTTCGGATGAAAACAATGGTACCTTCAACAGGCCCTTTTTGATGGGAGAAGATGAATCTCGGTCCAAGTGATGACTGGGCCGAGGGGATCCTACACAGCAAACACACGTAAACTGGCCCCGAGGGTTATGCCGAGGAAGGCCCTTCCGATGCCGAAGTCAGTGCAGTGTAGAGGGAAAGAGTTATGCAAGAGAATTTAATACTTAAGGCTGATTGTGAATGAATGTATAATGATGTGAGTAATGACTTTTTTACCTTTGCTCAATTAGAGGACTTGGGCCCTTGAAGTCAAGTGGGCTTGCCACGTTAACCGGACCAATGACTGACTTGGCACTTGGGCTGGAAGGTTGAACCTTGCTTTTGGGCTTTGAATTATATCATTTGCGAACCAGGCCCAATAACGGTGAAATTGGACCCAAACACTAAATATTCATGATTTCAATAAGTTTGACGATAAAATTTTTTATTTTTATTTGACATGTATTGTGTAACTTTCAAAAAAAAATGAAAACTATAGTAATAAAAACCGAGCCCTAAAGGTAGCGGTCATTTTCATTCAGGAACCGCTACTTCAATTAACAGTTTTACAAAACCCTTTGTTCCTCTTTTTCACTCATCAATATTAATCATCTCCAATCTTTAAAGACTCTAACACATGAAGATCAAATAGCCCTGGCTAAGATAAAAAAATAATTAGATTTCCACTATCCTCAATTTGTACCTGATGTGAACTTTTCTCTCCTTCTCATGTCCAGTACATAAAGTTCAAATTACCATGATTGTGATCATCCACCTTTTGTTGTGACCTTAATGTACCAAAATTAGAGCCACTACCCATATATCATGCATTTAAATTGGTTACACTTTTGCCATGATATAAATATGCAAAATATGAGAGGGGTTAAATACAACAGAGAGAACCTCCACATTTTTTTTTCTCTATTTTAACAATATAAAATGTAAAGAAAAGCAGCTAAAATGATAAAGCTGCCCTCGCTTATTGGGTAAAATGACACTGATAACCCCTGACTTATAAACTTGAATTTCCTCAAATACAACATCCAACTTAACGATACCAAATTGGAAAGACGGGGGGGGGGGGGGGGGGGGGGGGGGGGGGGGGGGGGGGGGCTGGCGGCTACTTGTTACTTGGGCTAGCCAAATTGGTGTAGTAGGCTAGTAGCTAGCTACTTGCTAAGTGAAAGTTAATTGTGCACCAAGTCGAAGGTAGAGATGATACCCTAAAGATACGATTATTTCTAAATACACAAAGTTCTTATAAGGTGACTGCTAACCAAACAGTCACTTTTAATCCTATCATGCTATAAAAGAGAAATGTAATAAGAGACGACCTATTCCTATAAAGGTAGATCTCCTTATGAATTTGAGTGATAAATTACGATTTCCCAAACTTCCTATTCCACGAGGAAGATGAACAATGGACTTTAGTGATTTTGCTAATGTGTCATTGATTATATGTAGTATATTTTTTGTTTGTCATTAGGAGTTTATGATATTTTAAACAATTAACTTGTTTAATATTTGTGAACTTAATAGCAGTGAAAAAGCATTTTTATGTGGACACTACTCTTTCACCTCTTCCCGACCCTTATATAATAGGGAAATGCTAGGAAACAATCAATGTTATCTATCTCACCCCAACAAGAAATAAAAAATTTAGATTAAACTATAAAAATCACAATTAACTTTTAACCAATGTTTTTGAAAAAACCTTGTTTCTTACTAGCATATGAATTCATAGCCCTAACTGTAGAATAGTCAAATCCTATTATTAACTTTTGACATCAAAAAAACACTAAGCCTATTAATAGGATAAATTTTGTATTAGATTGTGGCTTGCTATCAAATATAGGACTGGAATGAAAATTAGAGGAAAATGTGGTATACCACTTTTTTAGGCACATTCCTTATTTTATGATTATGCACAATCCTTATAATAGATTTCTTTCTGGCAATATATAACAAATCATCCATTCTTATACAAAGATCTTAAAAAATAATAAAAGTGTAAATATACATACCTTCAAAATAAGAAGAAAAAAAAGAGTGCATAGGCCGGGCAGGACCATGTTGAGTGCTTAACAAATTCAATTATTTTGGTCTATCGTGCCCTGAGCCCTGCGCAAAAAAAAAAAAATAATAATAATAGAGGTCGCCCCCATTAGTTTTATTAAATTTTAATAAGAAAAGGGAAGATTGATTTTGCAAACAATAATTAAAAGCCATGGAGTTTGCAAATAATAAAATTAAAATCCCCTTTTTCATTTTTGTAACCATTTTGGTGGCCATTATTCCTACTACACAAGGTAACATTGTAGGAAACAACACTGTTAAACAGCATGAACACGATGAATGGTTTCAGAGAAAACTTGCTGAAGCTTATAATGCTTCATTACAAGCCTATCATCATGAACCTACTGAAGTTATGGATGAATTTAACTACCATGTCCATCGGTAATTTTTTTTTTTTTTTCCCAAATTTTCATCTATATATACGATTTATTATATGTTTCTTTTAAGGTAGATGTATTCATGCATAAAGTTTCAATAGTTATCAAAACTATGCAACAATAATTAATCATAATATCATATATTAAGTTAGGGCTCCCTAGAGGGTAGAATCACACATAATTTTTTTGGGTGGGTAAGGAAAATGTCCTATCAGGCCGAAATCTCTCACAAGTTAACTCAGCTCGGGTTAGCAGGATAGGCACATTATCACTAGTAGTTTTATTTATTTATTTATTTATTTATATTTTGTCATTTTGAGATGTTGATTTTATTATGGAATTAAATCTTGTTAAGTCATGTGAAAAATTACTCCTATAATCAAGAAAATCCTTTGTTAATGTACATGACATAATTTAGTTTGATCATAAATTATCAATGACAAATTTGCAGGTCATTAGAAGGAACCAATAGTACAAGAAGAGGGCTAGGTAGGTACAGGGGTGCATGCAAGGCTCAAAACCCAATTGACCGTTGCTGGAGGTGCAAGGCTAATTGGGCTCAAGACCGAAAAAGATTAGCGGATTGTGTTAAGGGTTTTGGACGTCGGACCACCGGAGGAAAAGACGGTCCGTATTATGTTGTAACAGACCCTGCTGACGACAACGTTGTTAACCCCAGGCCAGGAACCCTCCGTTTTGGGGTGCTTCAACCTGGTCCCTTGTGGATTACATTTGCTAGGGATATGAGGATTGTGCTCACTGGAGAACTATTGGTGACAAGCGACAAGACGATCGATGGTCGTGGTGCACAAGTCCGGATAGCCGATGGTGCTGGGATCACCATCCAATTTGCTAACAATGTCATAATTCATAACATTAAGATTCATGACATTAAGCCTGCTCTTGGAGGACTAATTAGGGACACACATGACCATGTTGGCATTAGGGGTGCTGATGATGGAGATGGTATCAACGTCTTTGCCTCCACCAACATTTGGCTCGACCATCTTTCTATGTGGAATTGCAGAGATGGTCTTATCGACATCGTTAAGGGTTCTACGGCCATCACCCTTTCTAACAACCATTTCACCAGACACGACCATGTAAGTAAATACATGCTAGTAAAAACTATGGTCAAAGTTTGTAAAGTTTAACTTCTCGTTTTACACCTTTTTTTTATTTAACTGTAATATGGGATGACTGTACAGGTGCTGTTGTTTGGTGCTAGTGATACTGATCCAAAGGATGAGATCATGCAAATATCACTGGCATTTAACCACTTTGGAAAGGAGCTTGTCCAAAGAATGCCAAGGTGTAGATATGGTTTCTTCCATGTTCTCAACAACGATTACACACACTGGATAATGTATGCTATCGGTGGTACTTCGCATCCCACCATCATCAGCCAAGGCAATCGATTCATCGCTCCTCCAAATCCTACAGCTAAAATGGTAGGAAACACAAACAAATGCACCATTGATTATACTATTAACAAGGCATTAGTAATTCAGAATCATATGTAGGTTACTTGCTGATTGTTTTTTGTTTCATATCGAGTTTGTTATTCATCGATTTTCTTTTCATTTGAATGAAACAGATCACAAACAGGAACAATGTTGTTGGCGAAGAATGGAAAAAATGGATATGGAGATCAGAGAATGATGTGTTCTTGAACGGAGCTTACTTTGTAGAATCAGGACACCCCTTAGACCAGAGGCGTTTCAAGAAAGATTTTATCAAATCAAAACCTGGAACATACGTGAGGAGGCTTACCCGATTCGCGGGTCAGCGCAGATGTATTGTTGGAAAAAGCTGTTAGATGTAACATATGTTTTTCGTTTTTACAACATTTATGCAATTAATACACTTTTTTCTCTTGTTTGGTCTTACAAAACATAGAGTACTCTTTCTAAGACAAGAATTATTGGATCGAATGTGCATGAAAAAGGAGATATTTTATTAACCATTATAATAATTAATTGTATGTACATTCAAATTTATGTATATGCGAAGTTGATATGAATTGGTTTACCCAATTGCATACCAATTTATAGGTAACAATGTTTTGGTCCAAAAGTTCTTTATATAATGACATAGTATTGAGTTTGTACATCACAATTACTATCGTCGACATCTACCTCACCATCCAATCACCAATCTGCCAACAGCAACAGAATCAACAAGCATATCATCTGGTAAGCAATTAACCTAGGCGTGACTGCTCTCTATCTCTCTCTCTTTATTTCCTCTGCTAGCTTTGTTTTCTTTCCATCCCATAGACAGCTAACATGTAATGAAAACACATACTCTGTACCATAAGGTTACTTTCATATTCTTTTCATCCCACTTTAAGGCAAACATGTAATGCAAACACATATCTGGTAAGCTAGTTTTGTTTTCTTACAATCCCACCATCAAGCAAATATGGTAAAGCAAACACATTCAACAGGTAAGTTAATTCAGTTTTCGTTCTATCCCACCATCAATCAAACAGTTTCCAAGTATATTCCATATTTCAGCGCTATCCCAATTGTTTAACCAGGGGATATCATTTTCGACATCCATCACTGTGATAAGAAACACAGTTGAAAAAGGATATGCAGTTCTCTCTATCAATAAGGACAGGAAGGGTTGGAGATATCAAGCATAAGTGAAAAATATCCAACAGAGGTGAATGGCCAATGAATCAAGGGAGTGGACGAGGAGAAGAAAAGGAAGGGGAGAGGGAAAGAAGAACAGGCTACTGTTACTGTCCCTCCAAAGTCAACTGATGCTTCAGGAAATTAAGCATACGGGGAACAAATAGATAGTTGAGATGATTGAAAATTAAAAATCGACCAAGTTACTCTCGTTGAAAACCTACCATATTGCTGAAACAGAAACCAAAATGAATTTGAGCATCAGAGTTATTGTTCATTTAGTGCTCTGAACAGTCCAATATGGTGAAATATGTATATAGACAGGAGCTTAGACAACAAGGCCAACCCCCCCCCCCCCCAACAATTTCACAGAACCACATAAAACAGACGTTAACACATATGTGCACCAACCTATATGGCATACCTAAAATGCTCTAATTTTATTAAGACTACAGGAAAGCATATAGTTTCCAAACTCGAATGAACTCGACTTCAAACTAAAAAAACAGTATTGTATGCCCAAAAGCTAGAGAAGGGCAAACCTCAGCCAGATCCTACTAGAAGGGCAAAGTCAATGACCAGTTTTCTTCTTGCATACTAGGCTATAAGTAATTACTGTACCCATTATATCAGTTGGATTGTCATCACATAAGTAAAACATAAAATGAAAGCAAGAATTTGAAGTCAGGCCCATAACAGTACTGTTGTTGCTAACATTGGCTATAATGAGACTCGGAAGTGGAAATTACAATTGCATTTTCGTGTATGATGCCCTACTTTTCTTATGATAGTATTCAAGCCTCAGCCCAAACAGAAAAGTAAAGAAAAAAAATAATGCACATATCAAAACTGAGATGAGATTTTTACTCGGTATTTGTTCCCAGAAAAGGAAAACTGTTCAAAATAAAATACAGGTCTATTCAAATCGAGTAATGATTTCTAACCTGGTAGCCTGCCTCCAATAGAGATACATGTGCTCATCCTGTTCAATATTACAACCCCTTTTGATGCTTTAGAACTGCTTTGTTTTGTTCTTGAAGAACTTGTCCCTTTTAGCATAAACAAAACAAAGAATGATAAAAGTTGCAGCTGACATAGACACAGAGGCCCATGGAACTGGTGGATCTGTGAAACACACAAGTGAAGCATCCAACTCCTGTGATGCACGATAGATAATTGAGTGCATAGCATACAAGTCATGTTCTGATGATCTCAAGTAATATGAGGCCAACTCAAATTCCAAATGGGACAGCGCTGTAATCATCTTATCCAGCTTATACTTAAAAAGAGACCACCTCTGTGAGAATTCAGTAACCTGGTTATCCTTCAATAGCCTCTGATACCCACCATGTGCCTTAACAGATTGAAGGACTTCTATGGCACTCGAAACCGTATAATTCAAAGTGGTCAAAAGAACATTCCTTCGAGCAGCATCCTTTTGCACAAACGACAAAGAAGAAATCTCCGAGAACGGTCCAAATGGAGTCTGCCCAACACTCCAAGTATAATCAACCAAAGTGGTATTATGCCTGGGGCTCCATCTCAAATGGGTTGGAGACACACCCCACATACTCTGCAAGACTGATCCAATAATCGGCCTTTCAAGCTCTCTAGTCTGAGTAAAAACATGACGCCCATTACAACTATAATCGCTCACAGTCTGAGTATTCCTTGTCCTAATCGCAATCACCATATCCTTAAACGCAACAGATTGATGAAACCGATCAAGCATAAGCAACGTATTATCATCCAAATCGAATACATACACCGGGATAACCCTCTTAAAATCATCCTCCTCATGAACACCCGCCAACCTCTTAAACTCATCAGCCGAATCAGACAGTATCTGATGCAACTTCTTCGAGTCCACATACTCACTCACAATCAAAGTATAGTTATCAAACAGAAACCTACTGGTATACGAGCTTTTTGACTTGGAAACAGCAAAAGAACACAAAGCACACTCCTTATAATTAATCTCATACTTCTTAAAACTCAAGGACTGATCCCCAAGCAACAAACCCTCATCAGACAAAGCGTTCTCAATCAATTTCCAATCCAACCCATAACTATTATGATCATTACTATCACTCCCAACAACATGAATAAACTGCACAACAAGGTTATTCTCAAAAGGAACAGGAATTCTTAAAGAAGGAACAAGCAATACCTGATAAGCACTATAAACCAACGAAGCTAAATCAGCCAACACCGCCTTATCCGATTTCGCCTTCCCGTGAAAAGCAGCAAGGGGGTGGAACTCACCCTTAGGAAGAACCCCATCACCCGAAAGACCCGGCCCGTAATCCACCGGCCCGGCACCTAAATCAACCCAAATGTACCTATCCTTACTCTGCCAGACCGAACCCAAGCACTTGGTAAACGAGGGCGAAGACGATTCAGCCCCAGTAGAAGCCGAATACGTATAAGCATACGGCTTCGATTGGGCGCCGAGATTGATGAGATAGACGGTATACCCATGAAGGGGCTTCTCCCGGCGGAAATCAGCAGCTATGATCTCATCGACAACAGAATACGCGACGGAGAAGAGCGACGACCGAAGCGAAGACGTAGAAGAGGCAAGAGAAGCGCGGAGGGCGGAGGAGAGAGAGGAAGAGAGAGAAGGGGAGGAGAGAGAGGCGTAGTGGTGGAGGGAGTGGGAGAGGGAGAGGTGGTGAAGGGTGGAGTCAAAGGGGGTGATGACGTGGAAAGGGGAGGAGGAGTGAGAAGCGGAGAGAAAAGAGGAGAGGGTTGAGGCGGAGGAAGAGGTGAAAGAGGGGCCGACGAGTTTGATGTGGATGGAGATTGGGAGGGAGAGAGAGAGGAGGGAGGAGATGCGGTGGTCGAGGGTGGTGGTTGCGGTGGAGGAGAGGGTGAATTTGAGGTGGGAAGGGAGAGAGAGGAGAGTGTCGTTGGATGCGTGAGGGTCGAGTTGGAATTGTTGGGTTAGGAAGGAGTCCAGGCCGAGGATTGGGGAGGAGGTGCTGGGGTGGAGGAGGAGGAGGAGGAGAGAGAAGATTACGGTGGTGGTCGGAGATTGGGTGGTGGTGAGCATTTTATATGATTGGGGTTCTTTGGTTGAGTGATTCAAGTACTAGAGCATTTTGTAGTGATTTGAGGAGTGATGTTGGTGAAGTGGTGATGATTCTGACGAGTTTTTCCGGTGATTTGTGAAATTGAGAAGTACGATGGCGGAGTTGTTAATTTTGGGGGCCAGATCTTGTGTCAAATATATGGGGTATGACCGTATGAGTCGTCTCAATGAGTGTTCTTTTTGTTTCATAATACTCCGTGAGTGTAATGTTGGTGTTAATTCGGAGAAAATTCGAGATATTGACTCCATCTCATATTTTTGGTGTCTATTTCTCAAAAAACACGGTAATTAAAGAGAATAGAGGCGGTAGGGGAATATTCTATGAAAAATTGTCCGGAATATTCTTACCTTTGCCTCATCCGCTCAAAATAATCCCACCTTTCGATTATTTTTTAATAATCCAACCTTTACACCCTATCTACTCTCAATGGTCCCAACTAACTTGAAACCGGCTAAACTGACTACCATTTGTAACTTGTGACTTGGGATTGTTTGCACACGTGTCACCACTCAATTAGTCTAAAATTAAAAAAAAATAAAAAAAAAACAGAAAAATTAAGTAAAAAAAATAAAAAAATAAAAAAAAACAACGGCCACCCTCTCTCTGGGAGATCCACCACCAAAACCACCTTCCTTACCTAGCCCACCCACCGAAACCACCTCCTCTACCTCGCCCACCCACCGAAATTGTCCTTCTCCCCTAGGAATGGCGGTTGTGATGGGTTTAATTTACGATTTTGGGCTGATTTGTGGGCGTCGAAGCAGCTGCTCTAGTTTGTGGTATCTGTCAGCGGTTGTTGGTGTAGTTGTTGTGAGTGGCGACAGATTGTGATGGTGGGTTCGTTTGGTGTTTGCTACGGGGAGAGTAGCAACTGCGTTTGCGAAGGAGTGGTGAGGGGCGACTGCGTTTGCGAAGGAGAAACATTAGCGCTGTTTTTTTATTATTTTGCGGGCTGGTGCTGGGGTTGGGTCAGCCGGAAACGGGAAGGAAAAGGGAAAGAGTGTCCGGAATCGGGAAGGGAAGGGAGTTCGTGGTCGGATTCGGGGAGGGGAAGGGAGATGGTGGCCTGAAATGGGTAGGGGGCTGGTGGCTAGGGCTGCCGGAATCTGGGCTTGGGATTTTTTAATTTTGTTGATTTTTTTCTATTTTTTATTTTATTTATTTTAAATTTTTTTTTTTTTTTTACCAATCATAGGCTTATACGTGTCTAGTAACTTATAATAACAAGTTAGATGACCGGTTTGGACCATTTAAAGCGGAATAGGTATAAAGGTCGGATTATTAAAAAATAATCGAAAGGTGGGATTATTTTGGGCGGATGAGACAAAGGTGGGATTATTCCGGGCAATTTTTTCAATATTCTATTGGAAAGATAAAAAGTAGAGAATAGTGTATAAGAATGACTACTTCACCAAATGTCACTGAGCAATTGCGAAATTCACCAAATGCCATAAGCCTTTTCTAAATTCACCAAATGTCACTGACAAGTAGCACATTGACACCCCGTGCCATTTATGAGGTCTGGACGTTAGTTGACTGTTAATTGACCCCAACACTTGCCACGTGTCACCTTCTAATTGGCCGTTTTTTAAGAAAAATATTTTTTTTACAAAAATAAAAAAAAAAAACAGAAAACCCTTGAAACCACCCCAGCCACCACCCCACCACCCGCTCCCTGCCGCCGGTGACCTGCATCCTCACCAACAGGCGCGCCGGCGGCCGTTGAAACAACTCTCCCCCTCCCCTCCTCTTTCGCTATTTTGCTTGGACTTCAATGGGAATAATCCCATGTTTCACACCCACACCAATCATGCGCCATTATCACCGTTCATCACAAAGTCGATCAAGATCAACGGTCCAAAACCATCAATTCATGTGCACGCACCAAAATTCATCATCGTCACCGAAGTATGCAGTGCCTAAATGGTGTATTAGTGGTTCGTCACCACGAATCTCGAGAGCACGGCATGAGCGCACCATTCGGGTTTCAATTGGGGTTCAAGATTGAAGATGTTCTTTGCCAAATTGCTGCAATTAAATCCCGGAATTGTAGTAATTGGTTGCCGAATTGCTGTTTGCGGTAGGCGATCTGTTGATTGCGGGCTGCAGAGGTGCGATTGGTGGCGGGTGGTGAATTGCGGTGGTTGAACTGGTGGCTGTTTGTTGATGTTGTTGCTGCGGGTTGTTGTTGGCAAGCGTGACGGGGGAAGAGGAGGGGAAAGGGAGGGGGGCCGGCGACTGCCGACACGCCTGCCGGTGCAGGTCCCGGCGGCATGGCTGGGATGGTGGCTGCTGAGGTGGTGGGTGGGGTTTGGGGTTTTCTTTTTTTTATTTTTTATTTTTGGTTTTTTTTATTCATTTTTAAAAAAAATTGTTTTTAAGAAACGGACCAATCAGAAGATGACACGTGGCAAATGGTGCGGTCAATTAACGGCCAACTAACGTCCAGACCTCATTAATGGCAAGAGGTGCCAATGTGCTATTTGTCAGTGGCATTTGGTGTATTTAGAAAAGGCTTATGGCATTTGGTGAATTTCGCAATTGCTCAGTGGCATTTGGTAAAATAGCCGGTATAAGAATAATAAAAGTAGAGAATATTGCATGAAAAAGAGAAAAAGTAAGTAATGATTTTGTTGGGTATATGTGTAGTTTGTATTGGAAAGATAAAAAGTATGTAATGATTATGTGCTATTTTTAGAAACAGGCACAACATTTTGGAACATCGAAAAAGGAATACAGGAACAAAATTATGGGACAGAGGGAGTACTATATTTGAGTACCAATCCATCTTACTCAAGGGACACGCTAATCATTTCGCCAGCTAAGGTGGGGGGTAAATTAGTCAAGCCTGGGTTAAAGTAAAGAAAATGGAGTTAACGTGCTGAGAAGGAGAAACTGAGATCTTCATTATTCGACAATGGCGGTTGCAATTTTTCAACAATGGAGAGATCATTCACAAAAAAATGACAAAATGCCTACCATTTAGAGTTAACCCTGCCCTTAATTTATATATTTTTCTTAGAGTTTCTCGTAAAATTCAGTTGCGAAGCCACCGGAATTGGTGTGTTGGGGTCGGAGTTTGTTGCAGTTTTAGTAGCGTTGAGGATGATCTATGTTGTGGTCTTGGACGAATTCCACCATTGTTATAGTCTTGCAGACAAGTGAAGAAGAAGAAGAGAGAGATGAAGAAGGAAGGACTGCTAGCTATGGACTGCCATGCACGAATTTCAAGACCAATAATTACAAGATTGTCATTTGAGTAACAGTCTTTGTTACTCAAATTGTGTAACCTGGGCTCCCTCGTTAATTTGAGTATCATTAAATGGATTATGGATTGATCTATGACAGAAATGTTTACCTGTTAAATCAGGTCGGATTGGGTTGGGTTATTTTACCATGTCAAACTAAGGAAAGTGAAATCCAAATTCTTTGACATAAACACTATTTTTCTCCTCCTTTTATTACCATATGAGTGAGCTTCACTGGCGAATCTACATTAGAGCGCAAAGTGACAGTTTCCCCTGACACCATGGCACAGCAAGTCCCAAATGAGGCAATCTCCCTATGTGGCTATGTCTATGTGCCTTATTGATGCATGTGTTTATGGTGCAAGTTAGTATTAATTGCGTGTTGTTTCCTCTATATATTAGCTTGTTGCGCATATGGGGGAAGCTAGTCTAAATCGAGCCTCGGGGATTCAAACGCCGCACGAGCAATTTAAACTCGTCCCCGTGACAACGTGCTTACTTAAAAGAAATCCCGAAATTTTAATACCAAAAAAAAAAAATATTATATTTTAACTTATACCATGTAAATCCTTACTCTATCTAGTAACATATGCATATTCGTTTGACATTGTAGTAGTTTTATGTTTTTTAGTTTTTTTATTTCAAAATCATATGATGTGTCGTATAATGAATAAAAAAATTAGTCAAACTTATTAAAATCCTGATAATTCAGAAAACTGGCAATAAAAAAGTGGAAACACCTTTTTCTTGTTTTTAGTTTTTGATTTTTAAAAAAACACAAAATTAAAAACAAAAAACAATGCCAAACAAAAATTCCCAAACTTATACCATGTAAATCAAGTTTTGTTTCTTATTTGGTCTATAACGATATAATTTCCCTCTTTATAACCCATTATATGATTATCATTGCAAATGTGTACTTGTAACTCATATTTGGTTTTATTTAAATATCTCTTTAAAAGAGTTTTATTTGATATGTTATTTGGATTTTATTTTTTTCATTCGTTATGAGAATTTTTTTGGAGCTATATTATTTAAATCTGCATGCATGAAATATCGATTTGTTGATGAGAATTAGATATGTATGTGCGATGTCACAACAGAAATCAATAAAATTAACTATAGATAGTTTTTTTTTTTCAAAAAAAATAAAAAACACTTCAATAAATAACAGCCACCAACCAGCGACCCACACCACCTTATCCACCAGTCAGCCACCCTTCCCCCTCTCCCTTCACTGTCAATGTTCAGAATAGCTTCCCTGCCGGCGACCCTAACTGTCGGAGCATCGCTGTCCAAATCTCCATAATCAAATTCCCAAAATCCCTCCGCCGAAAAACTTAACACTTTTTCTCCAATCTCCGTTGAAATAGGAAAAGCTTGAGCAACCCATCAATGGCGAGATTCACTAGAACAAAGCGGTAATCGAGGTTGGGGGTTCTAGGCACACGGTGGTCGAGATCGGAGGGCTCTAGCTAAGCGGTAGTCAAGGTAGAAGGGTTCTGGTCGCGTGATGGTCGGAGTTTAGATTAGGGTCGAGACTGGTGGTGGCAGAGTGAAGGTGAGGGTGGAAGTTGTGGAGGTGTTAGCTGGGTTAGTTGGTGGTGGTGTTTTTTTTCTTTTTTTGTTTTAATTTTAAAAGCTAAACATAGTTAATTTTAACTAACTATTTATTAAAATAAGATTATCTATGAAAATAAATTCTTAATTAAGGTTATCATTTCAGTGTTACACCGCACAAATTGAGGGTTACTATTGAGAATTTCCCTTTAATATATCCTGACATAGGAATGACACGTATCAATTCCTATACAAAATTTTACTACAAAAACTTTTTTTTCCTTTTTTTTCTCATTTTTTTTATCTAATAGGAAAGTTTTTATTATGTTTGGCTACAATCAAATTATATCCTATTTTTCCTTTGTAATTATTTCCACTTTAACATTGTTTCCTTTAATTCAAGAATTGACTTTATTGATATTTTTTTTTTTCAAATTTCAATACATTTGGTCAATACTATATTAGTAACCTTATTATTATTCCAATTGTTTTGTAGATAACTTCTTTTTCTTTGGTGCACACGAGGGGCTAATCACAATCTTTACCTAGCTAACTTTTGACGTAATTGTAATAATTTTTAATTAATCTAAGTAGTAGTTCATTTGTATAATATCAACTAAAATATCCTTTCAATAATCAAAAGAAAAAACAACTACAATATTTCTTAAGCATATATCAAAATATGCTAATATTCTATTCTCTACTATAAAATATAAACTCAGATCATGATGAGAAACCATCAAGTTTGGATCTGAATTTTTTTACATGGCTTGGATCGTGCTAACAAGGCATGTCATTTATGATAATTTCTAATAGACATAGTCCATACATCTTATAAATTAAAGAAGCTTATAAATTTTCTTACATAAACTAATAAAAATAGAACTTATTGTTGTAGGTTGTTCCAATTTAGGATTACATAAAGTCGATCATGAACTATATCGCCGACCTGACTAATTAAATTTGATTTAACCCTCCGCGAAACATAACGAACCAAATGCTATCTTTCTTCACTTCTTGGGCTTCAAGCTTATCACCAAGGAGAGCATCATACAACTTGTAAGCCAAAATATCATCATACCACTATCGGCCCCTGTCAACGTAGTTAACCTCCATATGAATTGTGTCAATGCTTTTAT